GAAGTCTCAAACAAGACCGTTGTTCAACTGGTTTGTAGTTTAAACACAAAAAAGGAGGTTTGGAACAAATGTTTTAAATAAGAATCTTTAAATTTTGAAATATCGAGAGGCAAGACAAGAACACTCGATTATATTAAAAAAAATAAGCATATTAATAAACATAAGATATGCATTGTCTACCCAGGGTAAAGTAAACCATTGTAAGCAGTATTTTTTTTGAAACATTTCCAACACAAAATTCTATTTGTATTTGTAATCGCAAAATTAAAAAAAAAGTTAACTGTTTGTCTTAGAATCATGTACATGTGTGTCAAGTTTTATTGAAATATGATCAAAATAGTACATGAAGGTTGATTAGCATTTCAATGGAGTTTCACAGAAATTACTATTTTTAATATGCATTGCATCACCGCTCATAAAAATCAGAAACCGATGTACTAAATGTTGAATCTTGGTGATTATACTTGTGTGCCAAGTAATTTTGAAAATCAGACCAAAACTTAAAGGATAGCATTTTAAACGAAATTTACAGAATTTTCTATTTGTAATAAATATTGAAACCCCTGTCATTGAAATCAAGAACCGATGCTCTAAATTATATATGTACGTGTAGTCTACTTGTGTGCCAAATTATATGAAAATCTTACCAAAGCTGTAGGCGGAGTAGCTTTTTCAAAATATTTACAGACAGACGGACAGACAGCTATAGATTGTCGGACGACAGACACCTTTTCATTACCAACATATAAGCTAATCCGTTCTCTGACAAGTAGAGCTAAAATGAATTTACTTAAATGCATGTAAATAAAAGTACTTACATTTTCCAACATCCCACAAATAATAGTGAGAGCAGTTGTCACATATAGACTGATGGTCCATCTGAATTGTTATGAACGGTATCCTTCCATTTTTCTTTGCCAGTGTAAGGACAGGACACAGACCTGAAAAATGTAGTATTGGAATTTAAAGCACTTGAAATATGAACTTAAGAGTTTGTTTTACATGATACCCAACATCTTATTTTCCACATCGATAATATACAATTTTAAATTTTTTTCTAGAGAAAAATATATAGTTGACATGATATCTCATGCCAAATACATAATTCTGTGTATTCCAAAATAAGAAAGAAAAATAACTCCTAATGTCCTAGATATATCGTGACCATAAAAAAATGAATTCAGCAATAGACAAAGCAAGCTCACTTATCTGATTCTCACTGAAAGATTTACCTACCATGCATTGGAATATTGTCAACACACACAGCTACCAAGTTTTTCCATGTATAATTCCTAAGACAAATGGCATGCTCCGAATCGGTACAGTTGGCCTTGATGAATTTCTGTCCAACAGAGCAGTCTTCGCTTACATTTAGTATTTGATATACAAGTATAATGTTTCCAATTTTTTGTTCTGTTGCCCTCTTTTGGATCTAAAAAAAATAATAAAAAAACAATTAAAAGTAAGGTATGGAAAGCCGTAGGGTACCCCCACATTATTATTATTTTTTCCTATATAATTATACCAAAAATAATTATGTCCTCCAAACTTGCTTTTTACAACATTATTATTATTTTCCTGCAACAATTATAATCTTGTCTGTTAAATGTGTACACATTATTATTATTGTGTCCTACAATTATAATGATTCACTTCACAATAATAATCTTGCCAGTCAATATGTAGGCACATTATTATAATTTTTCGCCTCATGATTATAATCTTGTCAGTCGATGTGTACTCATTATTATTATTTTGTCCTACAATTATAATGATCCAAACTTTACAATAATAATCTTGCCAGTCAATGTGGACACATTATTATAATTTTTCGCCTCATGATTATAATCTTGTCAGCCGATGTTTAAAAACATTATTTTTATTTCACCTCAAAATTATAATAATTATTCTTACTTTTAACAATTATAATCATGTTTGCCCAAGCGAACACATTATTTTTATTTCGCTTCAATTTCATGCCAATTTTATTCCACATCGATCATACAATTATAATCTGTCTTTACTCCAACAATAATAATCGCGACCAAAAAAGTTGCAACATTATTATTATTTAGACGCTTGAAATCAAACGTTTATGTGATTTTGATGCACTGAACAATTATAATCTTGTCAGATTTTCTTTGGGAAAGATTATTATTATTTGGACGCTTGAAAAAGTAAACGTTTGTCTGCCGAAGACAATCGCGTGGTTTAACAGGTCGAAACCACTACCTTATATGGAAGGCAATTTTGAACACGTGACGATGTCTTCGTCACGCCCGTTCTCCAATCGAGTGAAAGAGTCCCAAAGCATAACAGTCTACCACGTGTTTACGATTCAATGGCTACACGTGGTTTTCGTCGGTTTACTGCACAAAATTTAACTCGTCACCGGAAAAACAATAGAGCTTCTTTATAACTTTATTAGACCAAACTTGAAAGATTATATTCTAGAGACACTACTCCATGCTTACATTCAATATTGGAGTTGTTTTAGATGATTAACAGTTGCTTCGAATATCGTACAAACGCCTTGACTTTTGCATATACATAAAACACTTTCTAATAATATTGAGGGGTTAAATAATAATTGCACACTTTCTCCTGCTGTCTAAAAACAAGGACCTATATACTACCTTCGAAAGCTATGTACACGTATATCACGTGAAAAAAAAATCAATGTTTTATCGACACGATAGCACTTAAACGTCTCTTTGAACAATGGTATACTAGGCCGATGTATTATAAGTTGATATAAGGTTTCATAAAGCAAATTTTGTAAATATTAGCATAAAAATGAAAGATTATACTTCATTTTAAATATTTCTTTCACAAATTTCAAGAAAGAATTGAAAATAAGTTTCCAAGGGACAGTTCAAGTTGCCTTTAATTTTCAACACAGCTAGGTACTTGTAGTAGCCCACAATGCATTGCGGCTCATTCAGCAGTAGGTAAAGTAAACATATTAGCTGATTTACATGCAAATTTATTCTGACGTCAGAAAATCTAGTGGTCTCGACCTGTTTAAGGCCATGTGCTTGCCTAGTAGCAACAATGCCGAGGACGGCGCCAGTGAAAGGCAGGCGGTTTGCCGGTAAGTAAAGATGATTTTGTTATATTAATGTACAAGGAAGTGAATTCCATTCATTCGATAAAGGAAATGTCTCAGAAATCAGCTGTCAGTGTGCTGTTATTAAACGACAGCTTTGGAAGAACTAGTTCGAATTACCTCTGTACTTTTGTATAGGAGATTGAGATTGCATCAATGCATGCCATTGCATTCAGCCATTGTGAATTTATGTTCCAAATCTAGATAAAGTGGCGTTAAGTTGAATGATATAGTGTATATATTTACTAACAAATATTTTCTAAAGTTTATTAATAGATTGTGCTTTACACAGCTGTTACAGTTTTAACTTGAATTTTCTCTGAAGTAAGTTATTTACATTGAGATCTATTGTTATTTACATTGCGACTTGGGTCAGTTGAGTTGCCCATATAAGACTGTTTGCTCTACAGTTGCAAAGTTAAGAGTTGATCCCTATGTCGTGGGTTCGAATCCCACTGTGGGACATGGAGACCAGTCCTTCATATGCAATTTACTATATACAATGCACAATATTGATGGAGCTGAAAAGATTTGTCTGTACTCTGCACCCGGTAACAGAAAAAGTGTGCGATGAGTGACAGGTCCTCATTAGGTACACGTCACAGCAGGTGCGTGACATATCTCTTGTGATCAGAGGTAGCAGGGCAATCCATGGCTAGCACTTCCAGGACTACTACATTCAGATAAAACAGTATAAACCGAGGTCCTGTGTCACAGTATTGAAAAGTATTGATGTATATACATAAGGTGACCTCTTCATCTGGTCCCGCTATATATTGGACAAAATAAGGTGATCTCTGGTCACCATGTTGATGTGGAGACCACTGGTTCTCCTATTCAGTGACAGGTCCTCCTATTCAGTGGGTTCCCCTTATGATGTACAGTATAAGGTGACCTCTGGACCCTCAAATGATGTTCAATGTAAGGTAAGCTCTTGTCCCCTAATGGTGTACAATATCAGGTAACCTCTTGTCCCCTTGTAAGATGACCTTTGCCCCCTTATGACATACAACATAAAATAACCTCTGGCCCCAGGATCATGAAACAAACTTAGACTTAAGTCAAATTTTCAATCGCCTATACAATATCTATTAATTATGCAATTTATTTTGAATTTTGCAGATAACAACATTTCGCAGAAGCAATATTGAAAAATGTTTTAATTCTGGTCTGCTTGACTTCTACAAAATTTTATTAACAAACAGAGATTTTGACTTAAGCTTAAGATGTTTCATGACCCTGGGGCCAAGTCTCCATATTGATGTACAAAACAAGGTGACCTCTGTACCCCCTAATGAAGTAGAACAGAGGGAGAGATCTGGTCTTCTTTTTGATGTACATATAAGGTAACCTCTGGTCCCCCTAACGATGTACAACATAAAGTGATCTCTGTTTATATAATCTTTTTGTTACCTCTGGTATCCGCATAAAGAATATTGAATCAAGCTGAAGTGCTATATTGTCATCAATAAGGATTTCATAGCTCACAAATTTTAGCATAATTATGAATGAGACATCGAAGTAATCTTATGTTGTACATGTACATTATTACGATGTCACTAAAAGTTGTAAGGAGGCAATAATTTATAAGCGCTGCTAGAATCCTGAGTAAAGCAAGGTTTTACGAAAAATCTAGGTCCTTATGTATAAAATTCAAAACATCGGATAAGGTTTTGTGCAATGTGTGGATAATTATTTTACTGACAGAACAGTGGGATTCTAGCAGCTCTTTTTAGGCAAAATAGATGTTTGTCGACTCTATTATTTACTGAAAGAAATTATTAAACTCCGGGGTATTGTTGTTCTTTTATTTTTTTTATTAAGGAACATTAACAGAGGTCATGTGATGCCGTTGTTTTGGTACACGTCTTTGCGTTACTCTCTTTTATCTTTATGCAATAGTTAATAATAGTTCATCCGCGATTTTGGTAAACTATCTAACTTAATTTTCTTTTAAGAAGTCTAAATTTCGCGCGAAATGATTTTTATGCTTCGTACCCATACCCGCGGAATCGGCCAGAATGTCAAAATGCACAACTCATGTATTTATATATATCCGGCGGTAGAATGATTAAAAAATATTCAGGTGCTTGTGTTGATTCATTTCTCTGCATTTAAAAATCAATACTCTTGAATCATATTATTTTTTAGGCATCTTTATAATCTTTGCTAGGACTTTATCAAGGGATGATATTAAGAGTATGAGACTTTATGTAAAGGAAATCTCTCTCTCTCTCTCTCTCTCTCTCATTCTGACGAAGTCGTTTTAGCCTCTGAGTGTTTGGACATTCCATAAAAAAGTGTTAAGCATAAAAACTGTATAAATGATATAAAACAGCAAATATTTTGGAAAATTTGTGCTATTTCACATAAAAAAATCATTATCATTATTTGATGACAAGTAGTCGTGAAGAAAGATTTTTTTCTCTAGACTTTCTAGGTAGGAAGCGAATGCCAATTTTTAAGATTCTGATTGTAAAATTTATTAATTTTTTAAGATAGAATGCTTACCTTGGATGTTCTCGTTTTGATGAATATTAAAATCCAAAGGAAACCATACAACTTTTTCAGATCCATCATATTGAAATCGCAGTGGCTCTTTACAATTTTGTACACACCTTGTACTGTTTTTATCTCTCCGCAGTTTGTCTCACACGGGTGCACTTTAATGCTTACCTTAGAGGTACTATTTTTAGCTTTCCGCAGGTTTGTCTCACACGGGTTCATTTTAAATTTTCTCGCGTAACACGCGTATTGATAATGTACCCATTTAACCATACCTGGCTGTCACTATTTTTATCAACACAGAAAAAAAGCTAGTACCTCAGAATATTCTTCCAAACCATAGGAGTGATCTTGAAATCACGAAACAAAATAAGCAGACCCTAATCATGCTAATCATATCCAATTTGAGAATTTTGACAAATAACACTGACTCACATATTCACGAAATTTACTAAGATAAAATGTGTTCTTTTCAGAATCAAAATCCATCAATTTATCTTTATAACAACGGCTGTACTAAATCATACATTCTTTTGTTCAAGTAACTGAGCTTGAAGGTCGATAGAAAATGTCCGATAAAGTTTTACCATGTCGGAAGCATTGAACGACGAATAGCGGTTTCTTCTGAAATAGCAGTTCTTTAAAGAATGAAAAAGTATGTCCAATACACATAATCCTTATGAAATGAGTCCACCGTTCCCGTAGCTGTAGATTGTGTTCTGAAAATTAATCCATATCAGAACAATTTTAAGTCAAGCCTCACCCACAAGCAATTGCACCAAACTGCGTAACATTTAACTTCGCGTTGAGGTCTGCTGGTATCAAGACGACTCGATCCTATTTATATTTAAATACCTGACTTCTATTACATTAAGTTCCAGTCATAACTTGTACAACACAATAAAAAAAAGCAGACGATGTCAATATGAATAGTAGACATGCAGGAATTTTCTACATGTTGTAAACTTTAGAATTAAAATCCACTTGTCCATCGTTCTAGTATATTACTTTTTGGTTTACTTATTTGTCATAGAATTTTTTTTTAAAATAGACAATGACGATAATTCACAGAATGATCTCTAAAAGAGAGGATTGAGTCAGTTTTTCTTAAAAAAAAAACAATTTTTTTTTCAAAACTGTGACCCCTGTAAGCCACTTACCTGCGGTCTTCAAATGTAATACTTATAAATAATAATAAAAATGAACAAAAAAGTTTTCTTTTTTCAAACATATAATAACTCTTGCTTTCTATAAAGAGTTTTTTTTTTAATTTAATTTTTTGGTATTTTTCCTTTGCGTGTGATTTTCAACTTTTATTCCAGGCACGTGTCCCATTTGTTTAAAAACCTCGCATCACGACATGTATAGGCACATAAAAGATTCCTCACTGCAACATGTGTAGAGTAATGTCTTAATTTGATGCCCTTAACGTTAACGTTATCTGGCGATATATTCTTAAAGTTATAAATTCTCAAATGGGACGTATAAAAGCCACCATTTTTTTTTTTATTATAGGCATATGTATGTTAAGATATTTTAAAACCATGACCAAAAATTATGACCCAAACATTAATATAAATTTAAATCATACAAATAACCATTGCTATCAATATCTGCTTAATATACAATTATTTAATGCCTGAGCAGTCAATAGACCAGAATATTTTTCCTGAGTTGCAGGGAACAGCTCAGTGTGTTCTATTGCCCGTGGCCAGCGGCCGAGGGCAATAGAACACACTGAGCTGTTCCCTGCATCGAGGGAAAAATTTTCTGGTCTTTTGACTGATCAGGCATTAAATAACTGTTTTATTACCTAATTTTATTTTCCGTATTAAGTGTTCACAATTGTATATTCAGTACAGAAGGTTCCCGTACCATATTGTAAAGGTATAACTAGATATGGTGCATCTGTAATATTAATTAAAGATTGATTGTATAGACTATTGTTTACATTCCTCTCGAAAAATTTTCACTCATATGGAGACGCCACCACTTGCCGGTGGAGAGGGACCTATTTCGTGCCAGCAGTGCACCTACTGCGACACGGGACCTCGGTTGATAGGTCTCACCCGAAGGCCCGGTCTCCACGTCCCTCAGTGTATTAATTAAAAGTAACTCTCATTAAATAAAATATCCGACCATTGAAATCACACAATTTTTAAAACCAATGTCGAAAGATCGAATAAGATGATTGTTTATCATGTCTGTGCAGTGTTACAAACAACTAAATTTGAAACCCGGATCGGTTTTTTACGAAATACGCTGCAAGTCAATAGAACGTGCAGTCTATTGACCGGTCAATAGATCGTCAGTCAATAGATTGGTTTGAAATGATAAAAAAAACTGAAAACACATACAGAATAGATGAAAATATTGAATTTATAATAAAAACAACAAAATTCATAGGATTAGGTAATATAATCTGAGTACTCTTTTAACTATCGCTCAAAAGAAAAGAAAAATATAGCATACTGTAGATTCTTAAATATACTGTGGAATTAGTTATCGCGTATCTTCGCGAGAAGCACCACACGCGAAATAAAATTACTCGCCTTATTCTTATGGAGCTGAAATCTTTGTAAAATCCCTTGATCAACCGATCAATCGCGAATTATTATTCTCGCGCTTTGCCGTTGAAGAGTTCATTCGCGATAAAAAGTACTCGCAAAAAATATGGAATTGACAGTAGTAAAAAAGTTGAATTTTTACTTGTCTGTTATAAAATGAGTGTTCAGAGAATATACTCATAGATTTTTATTATCGGTTGGTAATATGATGACAATGATTAGTCTTTTAAAACTTCCCTGAGAATCGCTTTTTGGGGGAATTTGATTCGATTTTAGTGTTTTTTTTTTGGAATATTTCTCAGTAAAAATAATTGAATTTGATCACCGAATCATCTGTAAAAAAAAATCAAAGATTATCCCTACAGTATACCTTGTTATCTCTGAATTCTTCTGTAGAAAAAAAGAATACAAGCATAAGATTTGATTTGAATACAACTAATTAAACACTAAGGCATACATGTAAAATAAAGACCATAGATTTACCATCGCTGCTGAAAAGTATATAAATTCTGAGTACGAGTACATCACATAATGTAATATGTCTTCATGTGTAAAAAAAATTTTGATTTTTCTATCATCACAACTATAGCTTATAGCACATTTCTTTAATTTAAAATTAATTTCATTCGAAAAATAATACGTTAGAGTAAAATATATAAAACAAGAAACATTTGCAATATTATAGAACATGACATTTAAAAATTGTTCCGCTTAAAAATTGCCTTCGAGGATTATTGATGAATTAAAGAGTATTCGCAAAGGTCAAAAGGATACGATAATGACAAATTGAATCTTTAATCTAAATAGGTCGCTAAAAGAAATGGATTTCAATAAAAGAAAAAAACCGATAAATCCAAAAAAGAATGTTCATATATCATTTAACTAGTATAAAATATGATAAATAATATAAAATAAAATATACTAGTAATCATTAAATCTTTTATGTTTAAATTACATCCCGAGGATAATTCAGTTGCAATAAGTTAATCATAGAATGCGGCAAACGTTGTGCTCTGCTAAAATTGTAGGGCCGCTGAGCAGGGAGGAATGATCGTTGTAGCACCAACACTTTTTTGGACGTAGGACCTCGGTTTATACACTTTTATCCCCGAAACCAGTCACCACCATCTAAATGTAATTTGAGATAAAAATAAGGTTATCAGAGATACAAGGGACTTTTGGTATATTTAAAACACGTTTATAGAATTATCAAAATCAATTTGGAATTTATGCATACATGTATCTATTATCCAACCTGTCCAAATAAACGTTGCAGCAAAAGTTTTAAAATATTTGCTCGGAAATACCTAGGCCTCTTCCATATTGATACGCATGATTCTCTCTAGAATAGCACTCGTCTCCTCCCCCTCAAAAATTATGTATCTACGATACAGAACCTCTCTCGTTCTCGAAATAATACTTTTAATAATTAGTTTAATTTTTGTAAGCAAGGCGCAGAATTAAACTTATAGTGCTTGGAATATCTCAGTAATAATGAAAATCTAAAGGGGTCATCTTAAGATGTGTGTACAATTTACAATGTACGTAAATTTTAAAAAGGAATACTGATATTTTTTATTGTGTGATCAAACACTATATGCTATATGATAACCTTTAATCCATTGATGATAAAAGTAGCTGTTCTTAAAGATAAAGCAAAGTCACGATTTATCATTTTTAAAGATGTTAATATTATGAAATTAATTTAATCAAATTTAAGAAACACAATTTGCATTTAAAACAAATTCAATTCTCGATAACGTATCAGTAACTACAGTATAATCTGTTATAAGCATGTTAGCCTCTGTTTGATCAACCAAAACTCTATTCTGTCTGTAAATATCAGACGTAACTATAACCTTTTCATATTTTAAGTCTGCAGGTAGAAAGAAAAAGACAAAAATAGTTAAGATAAGTCTCCATGACCCTCAAAGGGAACAGATAGGAGGAAGATCAAATATGACAGGGAAGGGAATTATTTACACATTTCTATATAAACTCACATTTATAATTAGAAATTTCACTGGATAATTCTGGGTATATTTCACATCTTTTATATTAATCATTTTAAGCAGTTTGCTGCACTGAGGTCTCAGAAACTTCAATGAAAAAAAAAATGTTAATCCGATATGAATTCGAGTTCATGAATTTCTTGGAGGAGCTATGGTAAAACATCATTATTCATTTGCTAAAGTTGTTGCTACGGGATGGGTGGAGTTTTGGGTGTATTGATGTGATTTTAATATTTACGTGTCTAGCGCGTACACAATAAAAATTGTGTAAAAAGCTGGGTAAACTAGAGATATTTCTTTCATGTAATTTAGGTGAATCTGATTTGTCGAGAAACATTTGTTGAAAACACTATTACCCGCTGAATAATGAAGCCACGCCCTCCAGCGTAGTAACAATCAACTGTGCTTGACGATTGATGATATTAAAAAAAAGCGACTGCGCAGAATTTATGCGCGCACGGTTCACTGTTATTTGATTTGTATAAAATCTGTATTGAGTATAATATAATAAGAAATTGCATATAGTTGAGTGTAACATTGAAAATTTTCAACCTCGACGGCGCCTCGGATGACAAATAAAGTTTTTCAATGTTTCACTCAACTACAGGCAATATTTATATAGAACTGCATGTGTACAAGTAGGTACGTCTTCATCCACAACATTTTCATATTGAGTTATTTTTGTGGACGTGCAAAGGACAAGATATTGTTTGTCAATTGTGTTGTCCAATTTTTAAGAAAGAGAAAATTTTCAAAGTGTCAGCTAGTAAAATAGCTCATTAAAATACCATACATTTATGGCCTTATACTGCGGCGTAATGCGTTTTTTCCAAGTGCATTGGGTGCAGTTATATCTTTTACTGTAAAAAGTGCAAAAAGAAAGGACGATAAAAGAAAAGCAACTCTTACATAACGATTAAGAGCTCTTTACCCTACAGGAGTCTTGTATCTTCAGTATCGTTTACTTTTCGATGACTGATTTCGTGAAATGCTTTACATTATCAAATAATATCCATTAAAGTGAAAAAGTTTTAGTAAGGCAATTTCATTTCAGTTGCCTTATAGTAATCTTTAATTTGCCACATTAATGGCATTACATGTCTGTAGATAGTGTTTGTTGTCCTTCAATGTATATACGATTATTTTCGTCTCATCTTTTTTTCACACTACACCACAGCATACCACAGCATACTTGTATATGAGAATACCCTGTTATATATGTACATTTCCAACGTCTTTTTCCGAGATAAAATTACAAATTGTAAATGTACTTTATTTCCCCATCAATATATTGGCGCGGTTAAAAAAAAAAAAAAAAAAAAAAAAAAAACACGTACAAGGCGGGGCAAACAGCTAGACAGTAGAAGGGCTTGGATCACGTGGATTGGCGGAATCAAAGCGTGTAAATATAAGGAATAACTGTCTTATTTTTCAATTTCATGACAATGATAAACGCCTTTGTGCAAATTATCACGCAAGCCAATCGATTGATCACATCATGAAATCGAAAAATAAGACAATTATTCCTTAAATTAACACCTACAAACATAACCTTGTAATAGTATGAAGATAACGACAAGGTAGTCAAGCTCAAAAGCAAATTGAAAGAATTAAAATCGGGAGAAGGAAAAAAAAATACAGATTTTAGATCAATATAAAACAGGTGGGATCAGGTGCCATGGATGAGTGTATATCGCTGTCGACTTCTCAAATTCGCCGTTTCCTCCCTGTCAGAATCGGGCAAACGGAAAATTCTATGATAAAATATTTTGCTAATCTATTTAGAATATATATAAGAACGTTGGCTCACATTCGATTTAATGAATAATGATTTATTTTATGACAAGTTCATTGTATGGCAATCGAATTTGCAAATGACGACTTTAAACGAGACTTTTTGTACATTCATGAATAAGGCTTATCGCTACACACTTTCGCCCTGTTTATTGTATTTATAAAATTATTTTTCAGCAGTCAAAAGTTTCAAGATTTACTGTGTGTGGGACTTTGTAGATACTACGGATATACTATATAATGAATGGAAATTTCAAAAACTGAAGTAAAATGACCAAAGGTCTAAAAAAATGTTACAAAATGTTTCTGGTGTTTGCAATTGAATTGATATTATTTGAAGTATTCGATTTTTTTTCTCTCTCCTGTTTTAGCCAAAGGCTCAAGTTAGCTTTTCTGAAAAAAATTGTCCCATTGTTGTTTTTGTAAATTTTCCACATTTTCATCTTCTCAAGAACTTCTGGGCCAATTTCAACCAAACTTGGCACAAAGTATTCTCGGATGAAGGGGACTCAATTTTGTTCAAATGAAGGGCAACACCCTCTTTCAAGTGGGGATCATTAGGAAATAGTGAAAAAATAATGGCATTTTCAAAAATCTTCTTATCAAGAACACCACTGGACAAGGAAAGATGAAACTTACTAGTACATGTAGATGGAGGCGTTCTCAGGTAGTGTAGATTCAAGTTCATGACCCCGTGGGGTTCATGGGGTATGATGGAACCACAACGATGGGTCAAAGTTTTACATACATTGTAAAAATCCATAGGAAAATTCTTTTAAATCTTTTTCTTATTAAGAACAGCAAAATCATAACTGTTAATATTTTAATGGAAATATTCTCAGGTGGTATAGACTCAAGTTTCTTCAAAACATGACCCAAGGGGTGGGGTGGGGCAACAATTGGGGATTGTGGATTTACATAGGGATATATAGGAGAATGTCGTTAAAAATCTTTTCAAGAACAGACAGCAAAGCCATGCTTAGTCATATTGATATGGAAGCGTCCTCAGGTGGTGAAGATTCAAGTTTGTTCAAATCATGATCCCAGGGGGTAGATTAGGGCCACAATGGGGAAAAAAATTACATAGGATTGCATAGGGAAAAAATCTATTTCTCAAGAACAGAAAAACCTTGATTAGTCATATTGATATGAAGGCATCCTCAGGTAGTGTTGAATCAAATTAATTCAAATGTTGCCCGCCCTGGGATAGGCCTCGGCTACGATGGGGGATAAATTTTTTAAAAATGAATAAATAGAAAAAAAATCTTCTGCTCAAGAACAGCAAAACAATTTGTTTTATCGATATTGAAGCATCGTCGGGTCGTTTAATATTCAATCCCCTTCCCCCTGTAAATTTCTCAATACTGAGCTGATTTTTTGCTTTTTCTTTAGCAAATGTGCTCAGTTAGGCGATGTGGCCCATGGGTCTCTTATTATAGTTTGTAAAGCTTAATTTGTGAATTTAAAAGCCTACACAAGCCATACATACCGGTTCATCATAATTATAGTTTTGGCAATGTATAAATACACCATCAAATTTTTAGCAAATGATAATGGAAAATGAATGATAAATAGAGTACATTTAATTTACACAGCATACTCAGGAAAAGATTTAATACCTGAATGATTTGTAAAACAAATACTGTTGTTGACGACTAGAGAAGAATGCAATTAAATTTTATGAACATATGCTCGTTTATGACACACAAATAAAAAAATGCAATACGAGAAAAGATTTTATTTTTGACGAATAAAAATCTAATTTTATACACTTTGAAAATAATAAACAATATTTCAATAGCAAAAATAATTTCAAATGTGAAATAATAATACATAAAAATTCTTCATCAACAATGATGTTCGAATTCATGTCTTTTATAAAATTGAGTGTCCTTAACACAGGTTCGTTAATTCTTTTGTCATTAATACTAATGAGTTAGATAAGGTGTCTTTTCAATCAAAGTTCACAATTTTCAAGTTCAGTTTAAGTCTATAATTAAGAAGTATTCTCCTCCGGTCCGACCCGATAAAGCACCCCTTCTTCCTCGTGAGAATTTATTTCTGTAAAAAAGACATTATCTAATTATTTAAAAGAACTAGCGATATGGAAAAGAACATGAACTTGTATTTAAAAATATATATAAAATCAAGACGCTAAAAATTAAGTACCTGGCTTTCTTCGTTTTCTTCTATAGATAAGAAGGACTATACAAGCTGATATTATTATAAGTACTGTGAGTAAACCAATCAGGCATGTTATAAAGACTGTAGAGTTGTCATCACTGCATCAAAGTACAAAAATATATTAAATAAAGGTATAAATATATAAATTCATATAAAATCGTAAAATGAAATTTTAAAATAAACAATTATAGAAGAAAATATATGTTTATTACGAATAAAATCAACGGCACTTACGATTCATTACTATTAATTTTTTTCCTGACAGAACCAAAATTTGAAGTTTTGTTCGATAATGAAGATTTTTTCCTGTGAAATGCATTCTTCAGAAAAACACATTCTGGAACTTGAAATAAATAAAATATATTCAGTAATTTACTTCAGAGGTATTTCATAAGAAGCATATTAATTATTTTTTTTTATAATTTGCAGAAATAAATATTTTCATGTATTGATTATAACATTCGATACTGCAAAGTATTACATTATTGCAAACATGTTAATTCAATTACATTTGTAGGGCTTCCAAGATTCGTATCTGTTTGGGCAAGGCTCTGCATATTGTTTACAGTCAGCGTTATAGTTATCTTGTATTCGTTCACCAAGGAAATTATATTCTGGACAAAATCCTGAAAAAAAATACTGCTTTTAATAAAAGAAAATAAGATATCGTGATAACAGCTTTCGAGATCAAAGTCAAATTAAAGAATACAAGTTCGGCGAAGAGAAGATAGGGACCTTCAAAAACAAAGGTAGGTAGGTAAGAGGTATAAGTGGGATTAGATGCCATGGAGGACTGCACATTCTCTACTGTGTTTGATGACAAAATGTTAACCAAAATATATGCAAAAAGTGAAAAAACCCATTTATTCAAGAAAAAAACATGTTTGCTTCTAATGACAAGTAGCTACCTAAAAGAAATAATCCGGGAGCACAGACTTCAATGGTTTTATTCATGAAGGCATTTGCAACACAGTGGTATCGGAAATTTTCTGGACTAGTACAGTTTTGAGAAATGCTTGAGCAATTTTTTCGTCTGACTGCAAACATCCACTCCTCATGCGTGCTTGGGCATTTGGTGTAGGAAATTGTCAACTTCGAAGCGGGACAATTCTGGAACGCCATCGTCTAAAATATAACAAAATAATGTAACTATTTTTATTTATCTTGCTTCGTTTTTTTAATTGTTTTAAATCGAAGTGCATGTATTAAAATTTAAAAATAATATACAATAGAATTTATGATTTTAAATAAAACATGTTTTTTTAATGTTTTCTTTTTGCGTGGACCCTGAGGTCCACGCAGTAAATATATAAGCGAAGTTAAACCGGATGCCCTGGGCAAACGACAGGCTACGCATGCGCGAGAATGCTAGAGAGTTCGCACCTTAGATAACTTGCCCGTAGAATTATTCGCCCTATTCGAATAAAAATATGCCATTCACTGGCAAATCGCGCTTTTAAATCTGCATATCGCATTTATAAATTCATTGCCAGATCCGATTTTCTCTCTTTTACATATACTTTTATATATATATGAATTAAACATTGATTTTATGGTACAAGCTTTTTAAGAAGTTACAGTATATAGTAGATATATGTAACTTAACAACTTGAATGAAACACGTCATTCAACGAATAGAGATAGCTTTTAAAAGATAGAGCAAGTTTTTACCGGCATTTGTTTTGTGCATCAAGGCTCGTAAAATAATTTAATATTTCAAGAATCTAAATATTAGTTGTTAAAGGTCTGTAGCAACGGCTTTTAATGTGTATGTGGGAGGGGGGGGGGGTGCTCCGCCAGGTGTCAAGTCCCAGTCAGTATGAGTTTCACGGATCAAAATAACCCGCGATTTTTTAAACTGACACGTTAAAGGTCGCTAATCGGAGATAAAATTTCACAATTATTATATTGCTTTGAGACCACAATCAGTTATAAGCAGGCAGATCATTGTAGAAAAAGTGAACAAACCTACATGAATATTCCCTACATCTAGAAATTTTCTTAATTGAATTTCAGTTTTAAAAAACATGCATATAGTCCACGTATTGCAGTCCTTTTTTAAAGGACAGCAACTTGTTGTTTATTTTGTTGTTTAACGTCTCGAGAGAGAGTATTTCATTCATATGGAGACGCCACAACTTGCGAGTGGGGAGCTGCAAATTTTCTCCTATGCTCGGCACTCAGGGATTTTGAGCAGTGGTGGATCTTTCTAGTGTCAACACCTACTATGACATGGGACCTCGGTTTATATAGTCCTATTCGAGGGTACGGTCTGCACTGTTTAGAAGCTTTTGAAAGAAAAATTCTCAAAGATAAATGAGACTTTTAATCTGCTTAATACACATGTGAATCATAATCAAAAGAATAATCAAAATCAACCATTTCTTCTAGCAAATTACACTGTATGCATTGACCATCCAACTTGTACAATTAAACCTTGCTGCTTAAGACGAGTTTTAAATTAAAGTTATACTCTGGATTACCATCTTCAAGATATAAAGGCATTTAAATTACGCACTTTTCTATCTGGGATAGAAATTAGCACGACACAGTATTCATCTTTAAATGCATGGGATGTCCCCGTAATGATAAAAATTATAAATATCAAAAAGACAGGACAGTTTTAGTTGATGTGTGTTTAGTTGATCTGTGTACAATCAAACGGAAGTTTAAAGAGGCATGTTGATATTTTCTGTCTGATCAAACATTATATGATAAACATCAATCCGGATTTCATTTTCATACTTTCTCAAAGCAATGATAAAATACCTATTCTTTAAAAAAAGTATTACCACGGTTTATCTCAATAAACATTAAAATCTCAAAATAAAATAGAATATTATATGCATATTGTACGTGCAATACAAGAAACATAATGTACAACATATATCATGTCTCTTTGAATAAACACTTTACTTCACCATGATCTTGCAATGGTATGAGTATCAAATGTCCGCTGTAATATAATTTTTATATGACTTTAGTGAGTTAAAAGCTAAATTATTTTCTAAAGGAAGAATAAATCATTATTAACAGTCTCTAAATTAAGAGCAAATAATATAATTGTTGCTGTTGATACATACCGACAACTTGACAGCCTGTAGAATAACATTTACAAAGATTAAGCAGAAGCCTCTCCGGATGTTCATGAATGTATTTTATGCTTGGTAAATAAATTATAAGAAGAAAGAAAGGTATTTTCTTTCGAAAATAAACTAAAAAGAATACATAAAAAATCAATCCTCTTCCTATGCACATGCAATTGGAAATGCCCTTTGCTAAATATGATTCCAAAGGTATGTTGATGTACGTGTATCCGTAAATATTACGCTTTGTGTATTGGAACGTTATTCGTATAGTATTAAACACATTTTATCAACACCATGAAGAAAAATGCCCACGCGATATTCCTTAATCGAACTTTTATTATGTATCTACATTGATTCATGAAAGGGATTCATCGGGGATTTCGTTTCAAAGAATTGTTTTTTATGCTTGAAATCGAGTATCAAAAAATTTAATTTATGATTTGTTTATAGAGAATTCTTTGATGTTTTCGTCCATCTTTCTAAGGATCGATTTTTGAAAGTTTTCATAGCAAAATGTGTATTCATTAAGGTCTTCCGTCTTCAGCGGAAGACCTTCTTGTTATTCTTAGGTTTCTTTTTCACTTTTATTATTATTATTCTTTTTTTTCTTACCGATTTTGTGCACGGGATTTCTCGAAAACGGCTCGATGGATTTCCATGAAACTTTCAGGACTTATATAGCATTACTTGAACCTCATGCATTTTTTTTCGATTTGATGACGTCACTTCCGGTTTGGAGATATTGTCGATTTTATGATTTTTGAAGGGTCATGTTGTCTCCAGACTTTCTCAATAATGGCTTAAGATAGAAACATGAAACTTTCAGGTATGATAGACCAAAGTCTATAGATATGTATAACGTATTTCATTTTTATCGGAAGTGACGTACGTCGGCGCTCGCTATGGCCCGAAAATAGTCGTATCGCGAATTTCAAATTTTTGAACACCTTTTCTACGATATCTTTTTACCTGGAAACATTTTGTTAAAACATATAGAACAAAAGAAGTGTAAAATTCCAAGATCTTTCAAATGATATATTGCAAAAGGGGCTGGCCCCTAAAATGAGAGGCCTAGAGGGGCCGAAAGTTTTTTCTTTATATCTCAAAAAGTATTGAGAATTTGTAATACGTCAAAGAAGCAAAGTTGTTCAAAATGTCAAGCTTTATCTACTGCAGTCGTCAAAATACGTCCAGCGTCGTCACTTCCGGCGAAACCGGAAGTAGTCGGAAAACGCGTATTTTTGCCGTTCTTGACAAATTTTTGGATAACATATGCCTCTGGGAGCATAAGAATTAGTTTTTCGTCCGTCAGCGTCATTTCCGGTCAAACCGGAAGTAGCCAAAAATAGCTAATTTTAAAGGTTTTTGATGCAAAATTGAAATTATATAGTAACTGGAGATGACATTGCTCATTGCTTTCTTTTTTGATGTCACTTCCGGCACTTCCGGTCAAAACCGGACGGAAGACCTACTCGTTGCTTTGCAACGAGCTTTGCTCTAGTTTCTTTTTATTTTTATCCTGAGTAAAACTGCAATAGTGGTTGAATGATATACTTTTCCCCTTGCTACAAAACGTAGATGAATTACAAGCAACGTAGAGAATCTGGGTATTTGTTGTTCCATTACTATTTTACAATTTTGCTTTCAGGTATTCGCCAACAGCATTAAATTGATATAAAAATGTCATTTGTTGTAACAGATTTAATTAATGATGTTTAATGGCAACATGCGGTTTCTACAAATTTTTCACGCTATAAAATAAAGAATTCTGGAAAAAAAAACTGTATGATTATAATTTTCACAGTATTTTTAATATTGTGAAATCATTTCAATCATGTTAAAGAAACGACTTGCCACAATATACGTTTAAAACAAAATCAACTGATTTGTATCTAAAAACAAAGTAGCAGCAGCTATCTGTTTTATGTGAAAGTCTATTTTGTGGTGTCGATGCAGGATTTTTTTTTATGCAATTATAAGATAGAAGAAGATAGAGGCATATTCTGCCTCCCTGACTGCCAAAAAGCAAATGTTTCAAGAAAATTGGATATGACAAAGTAGACGTCCATTACACATTGAATTGTTTACTAAAAACCATCATTTATTAAGTCAATTTTCTAGTAGAAAACTGGATTTACTCATAAATTAAATCTTTCTTGTATATAAATATTTAAAACCAATTGCACTTCTAAAGTTATCATGACTTGACGAGATAGTTATCTTGATTTGACATGATATGCTATGTCAACGAAAAGTTATGTGAATGGCATAAATATGCCACCATACTACTAGGATCTACAAGCGTCTATAGGGACCTTCAAAAAATATGCGTAGACATATATAAGCTTAACCTTAAACGGACTGCCTTACAACACATCATACATGTTTATACAAAAAAATGTTTAAACATACAGTTTAAGCTAATATATATCACACTGTTTCGTACGGCAAAGCAAAATAATGTACAATAAAGCGTTCCATTCTCAGTAATAAACTTACGCTTAAACTCATGGCATGTGCACGTGGTAACATTCCCGTATATAATTCAAACACATTCTTTCGTGGATAAAAATAGAATAAGCGCAATCAATATAAAAATGCATTACTTTTCAATATAATGTAAGTAAATTGCACTTACCCTGATTGGAGATTCAGTTACCACGATTAAAACTATCTAACCCTCCATGGACATGTGAAATTATTTTCATTGATCAAGGAAAACGTCTGCTACCAAAGACAAGCCTGACATCACCTAATTATTGTTATTGTGATTTAAATTCAAGAAACGTGATTTGGGTTGACCTATTCAAAGGTTATAGGGTAGAACCGGTTTTATAAATAAAATTGACAGTTAACAGGAAAATGCTATAGTCTATTTCTATGGAAAACATGTCCTGCAAAAAATGTTTTCCAGACCTTTCTGAAATACTTTCATGATTGGCAACAGAAAAGCGCTTAAGGGGACGGGGTAAAATAACAATACATATAAAAATAATTTACGGAGAAAATTAGATCTTACTAGCGACTGATACGCCGGTAAAAAATTTTTAAAAATGTGCCTTTTATGTCTATTATCAATGAGTACACTGGATCTTACCACAAGCAAATTACCTATCGTTGAAATAATAACAACGTTTACGCCAAACACGTTTAGAGTTTTCTTCGAACACTGGTTTAGGTCTATCTATATGATCATGCAAAGGAAGTGCAAAATAAATGAAATGTTCTCGTGAACATAATACAAAGATTAGAAACAATAAAATATGTCACGGATGTTTAAAATTTATTGTTATCTAGAAAAAAAAATTATTTTAAATAAAATGTAGTTTGTGTCAAGTTCAGAACACCAGCGCTTTAAGGGTAAGGAAAACGAGCAGCATATCCTATGCATTTAAACTGTTAAATGGACAAAACATTTTTTTACAATACTATACTCGTGATCACGTGTTTTAGCCAGTGAATCCACCAGACAATTGTATTCACCGATAGTACAACAAAGGAAAATTTAATACAGACCATATCGCTTTGGAGTATGACGTCGAGAAACATGTACTTCCGCCGTTTATTTAATAAATAAACTGTTTGTCATTGTAAGCATGAAAATATTAGGTTTAAAAGAAATGCTGTTCATTTTCGAAATGGATGGAAAAATGGTCTTGTGCCTTTCCGATCACTATAAGATTGTCTTTTTTTTCAAGCGTCAAATTTCTATAGTATTCGTAGTAACCCATAGTGCACTTATATTTCAGCTGAATTGTCAGTTTAAATAAATTTGGTGCTTTATTTGCTAATCTTACGCCAAAAAATATAATCCCGGTGAATTCATGACTGCAGAAAATTGAATCATAGAGAATCATTTTATACTTATTTAAGATTAAATGAATTCAAGAGAGATCAATTGAGGTACATTTTTACAGATTTAGGGTGGTAAAGACTGAAACGCAGCATAACTTTTCTGTTTACCATGTCTCCACGTGCTAGTCACTTCCTAGCCACAATTCCATGCATAATTAGTTCTTTCTGGCTGTAGTCTCGATAACTCTCACCAGAACCACCGCCAGAGCTTCTCTGGACTCATCGGGTGTAATAATTTGCAGAACACCGAAAAAAGGTTCCAAACACATTAGTAGGGGTTTTATATAGAGACTGGCCAAATAATTTAACCAGCTGAGCGTCATAATGGGGCTCCTTGCAGGATAAACACTAAATACAGATAAGGGTGAACACAGGCAATACAAATAAAAACAAAACAAATATACATGTAACGAACTCAACTTTGATTGTGACAAGGAGGTAGAGCGAACCTCCGCAATTTTGTCATGTTAAATTATTCTGAATGAAGTAATTGTTTATCAATTATATTGTTTGCCTTTTATTGAAAAAAAAAAGAATTCCCAAAGAAACAGCTAGTAAATATATCCTGACGCATTTAAACTTCCCACACGTGTGTGGTCTGATCAGGTGACATAATGTTTTGTATTTCGAGTGTATCGGGTGCAATGAAACCTTTAAATGTAAACAATGCTAGGAAGATTGCACGAGAAAAGATAAGCAACTCTTACATAAAGAAAAAAGAGCTTTTTACTCTACAAGAGTAGTGCATCTTAGAGTGGAATACTTTTCGTTGAAAATGTTAAATATCTTTTAATTATGATTTAATATTTCAAAATTGAAAGCCTTAACAAAATATCGCAGACCTTGCTACAATTAACCTGCTACATACATTGCTGCAAATTTGCTGCAATGAAGCTAAACAAAACATAACAGCCTTGAAAACACTTTGTGTTTCCAGCAGATTTTTGGCAAGGATCGACAAACTTATAGCAAACAGTTATATTCTTGTAAAAATTTCTAAGTCCCGACTTTCAAAAAATTTAAAACCTTAATATCAATTTACTAGTTGCTTACAAATTTGCCTTTAATTTTCAATGCTTACATGTTAAGGCCCAAAAAATATTAATGAATATTTAGAGTCATTGTTGCTGAATTATACCATCCGATTGCATTCTTTATTGCATTCTATATCGTCAACCAATTAGTATATCAAATGGATCATGAATGTACAAAATAAGATATTTATCTTGCATATAAATTAATTTA